TTCAAAAATAGTTCTCCTTATCAAACTCAACACTCAAAAACACAAATAATCCAGTTAAGAAATAGGCAGAAGACATGAAAAGACACTTTTCCAAAGAAGACATCCAGATGGCTAAGACACATGAAAAGATGCTCAACATCACTCATCATCAGGGAAATACAAATGAAAACTATGATGAGATACCACCTCATACCTGTCAGAATGGCTAAAATCAACAACACAAGAAACGACAGGTGTTGGCGAGGATGCGGAGAAATGGGAACCCTCTTGTACTCTTGGTGGGAAGGCAAACTGGTGCAGCCACTCTGGAAAACAGTATGGAGGTTCCTCAGAAAGTTAAAAAATAGAACTACCCTATGATCCAGCAATTGCACTACTAGGTATTTACGCAAAGGATACAAAAATACAGATTCAAAGGGGTACATGCTCCCTGATGTTTATAGCAGCATAATCAATGATAGCCAAACTGGGGAAAGAGCCCAAATGTCCATCAACTGATGAATGGATAAAGTAGATGTGGAATATTACTCAGCCATCAAAAAGAATGAAATCTTGCCATGTGCAATGATGTGGATGGAGCTAGTGTATTATGCCAAGTGTAATAAATCAGAGAAAAACAAATACCATATGATCTCACTCATATGTGGAATTTAAGAAAGAAAACAGGTGAACATATGGGAAAGGGGAAAAGAAAAAAAGGAGAGAGCAAAACAAACCATCAGAGACACTTAATGATAGAGAACAAACTAAGGGTTGATGGAGGGAGGCTGGTGGGGGATGGGCTAGATGGGGGATGGGTATTAAGGAGGGCACTGGTTGTGATGAGCATGCAGTGTTGTATGTAAGTGATGAATCACTGAATTCTACTCCAGAAACCAGTATAGCACTGTATGTTCACTAACTAAAACTTAAAAACAAAAAAAAACAAACAAAAAAAAAAAAACCCAAAATAGAGTTCTCTTGATCTGCCAAATTGGCTCCTGGCTATGTTAATCTGAGCATGGTGTCACAGGTATTGTGCTCCTCAAAGACAGTGCATCCATTCCTCTGAATTAGCCTGGATCATTAACAGATATGTCCTGTGTCTCCTAAATATTGTTATCTTGGCTGGAATTGATGTCCAAGAGAATGAGGCATGGGAATGAGGAAGCCTTCAGAAATTCAGTCCTTCCCTGGCAGTGTAGCCATTGAAATGGCTGAAATGATATTGGAAGCAGCAGGTTTAAGAGTGGACAGTTTGTCTAAGTTGGACTGGAGCAGAAGGTAAAGGTGAAAAAGGTCTTCAGCCACTGAAAGGCTAAAATTGTTGTCAGGAGCCAAATCATTCTAGGTAACTTCTGCTTGAGAACATGTTATTACATCACTCACAGAGGAGCAGGATGGATGAAGGCACAGGGGAATACAGTTCTAACAGCTGAATGGTGACAAACCTGGTTTTATAACCTGACTCCTTATCCATAGTTTCAGGGTCTTTGCTCGGCAACATTTTGTATTACGAGGCTTATTAACCTAGAAACGTGTCTAAAAAGTGACCTTCTCAAGAAGTAAACAGTCATTCAAAAATCTAAGTATTTTATTTACTAACAAGTAAAATGAGAAGTTGGAAAATCTTTTTTAATAAATTGAGGGTACATATTAGCATATTTATTCAAACAAGTCAGATATTTTTGCATTGGCTACATTAATGAATAGAGTCCTGAGTCTATTAGGACAGCCCTATATTGAATAAATTTGTGAACCCAGAGGAGGGAGTCCACAATTTTATCTTTTATGTACATACATACAAGCTAAGATAGTAATAACATTAAAACTAGTTGCCATGTCCACATTAGAATTTATAAAGAAAAAAATAAAACTCAATTGGCACACTGACTGGTTAGCTATATAGAAAGAACATAGAAAGTATATTCCTTCAAAGAAAACTAGCTTTGAATAAATTATAGTAAAATTTTCTATTTTCCAAAATTATAACTATCTGTAGGCACAAATAATGTCATGTGACAAAGACTAGGGCCTGAACATGGATTATTCCAGTGCTGCTCATTAATAATTATTATTAACGGATGAATTATTCATCCAGTTACTAACTGATTTAGTTCTCAAGCAAGATTTGTTATTTAAAATTACAAAAAATACAATTTTGAGCTAAAGAGTTTACTGATATTGATTAGACAAAAAAATCTAGCTTTCTTTATCTATATATCTAGCTCTCTAGGCAGTAAAATGGGGCAACTGTAAGGCTTACCTCAAAAAAACAGAATGGAAGATAACAGAAGGGTCTACCTACAGATATATTTCAGCTAATAATCTCAGAAAAAATGACAGAACTCCAGAATTACAATTCAGCAGCCCCTAATGGATTAATGGATGACACTGATGATCCTCAATGACCGCCAACATTACCACAAAGGAAATAACAGATGTTTTGTGCCTCCTAATGGAATTAACACAATGTCACTTCAGGAGTGATTTTGCCAACAAAGAGACAAATATATAAATAAACCTTAATCTGAACAAGCTTCCTATAACTACTGAAGATAAATGATACTGAGCATCAGGTACATTGAGTTACTTTATCCTTTGTAATGTTATATGTGATGGAGAATTTTCTATAATAAAATGATTTTATTATAAATATGTCTTTAAATTTGAAAACCCAAGTAAAATGGAAGCATTTGTAGCAAAATATAAATCACTAAACAGGTCCATAAAGAAATATAAAACTTTCATTGACCAATAGAACCTGAAACTCAATCCTGATATATTTTCAGGGCACATTTTGCCCTCAAACTGTACCAGGATCAGCCAGGTTGAAAGGTCGTTACACCAAATGATGAAGGAAAAGCTAATCAGCACTTCAAGTAAGCTCTTACAAGCTGTACAAGAAGATGGGAAATTACTCAACCACTTTAACAGGCTAACTGTCCTTGATACAGAAACCAGATGAGTATGCTCCAAGAAAAAAATACTTGAGTCAAGCTTACTTATATACATATTCTAAATAAATTCATAGCATATCCAGTACAGCAGCGAATTGAATGAAGAAAGAGGCTGTGTCCAAGGAATGCAAAGATCATATGACATTAGAAAAAACTGTGAATTGGTTAACAGAGAGAGAAGAGAAAGCATTTTATCATGTTTTGAGAGTAGAGAAAAAGACCTTTGATAAAAATTCAACACCAGTTCGTGCCAGTAACTGTTAACAAACATATTAGAATAGAATTTCCATATTCTAAAATCAACAGCACACATATGTAAGTGTGAAATGTTAAAACATTCCCACTGAAGTCAAAACAGGATATGGAGGTGTGGTACCATCTCTACCGTTCAAACCTGGACTGGTTTGCAGAGCCAGCATATAGCCATACATAGGAGTACCAAAATAAAAGTTATGGATTATGAAAAGAGATAATAAGATCCCCTAATTAAAAACTCCAAAGAAATTGGCTGTCAAATATTCAAATGTATAAGGAACTTCAGGAAACTGATGTAGAAGACTACAGCAAAATCAGAAGTCTAGCCACACAAAATAAATAAAAGAATATATCATGGAAAATACACCATTCAAAACAGTAGCAATATCCAAAATATACCTAAAAAAAGAACTAAGAAATATGTACATGATCTTTATGGAAGCAAATATTTTAAAAAGTTACTAATAGACTTAGGTAAAAGAAGTCTCAAATACAGCACGCTCATTTTTTTTAAGGTTTTTTTTTTTATTTATTTGAGAGACAGAGAATGAGAGATCGAGAGCACGAGAGGCAAGAGGGTCAGAGGGAGAAGCAGACTCCCTGCTGAGCAGGGAGCCCGATGTGGGACTCGATCGCGGGACTCCAGGATCATGACCTGAGCCGAAGGCAGTCGCTTAACCAACTGAGCCACCCAGGCGCCCTACACCACGCTCATTTACAGTAAGCAGAATATTGTACGGATGTCAATTCTCCTTAAATTATTTACAGATTTCTGCCTTACCTGATGGATTTGGCTTCGGGTCAGCAGAAGAGACATAGCCCAGCACCAAGTCGTCAAGGTATGACCCCGAATAAAGACCGAGGTGAGAACCCACCCGAAAAGAAGGGGCAACAGAGAGGTCGTTCCCGGCCCCCCACTCCCCCCCCATCAGTCTTGGAAAGTCTCAGTCATGGCTGCTCAGCTCTGCTCCCGCTTTACTCCCTACTGGGGGTTCTGAGGGAAATGAAAGCCATGGTCTGATGTGAACTAACTTCACCGGAAGAAGAAGTCCCAGGCCCTGCCTGACAGGAGTCAGGAAGGACCCCTATTTGACTTCTGCATAATTCCTCTGCCACCAGTACTGAGGGGAGTCCTCCAGAAACCCACGCGAGCTTTCATGCTGGGAAGTCTAGGTGGGTGTGGCCGGAAGTGCTCACCCTGATTTCCGCTCTAGGTGCCGCGGAGCCTGAGTTCTCGGTGTGAGAGGTGTAGAGGTGTGTGGTCCCACGCCAGCAAAAGGAGGAGTGCCAGGACAGGTGTCGAGGTGAGTAACTTGCTAGAACTGAAGAGATGCATTCCTTTCAGAACTGAGGTGGCTCAAAGAGCTCCACGCTATTCTGGCATGCCCCACCCCCACTGCCCCGACCTCGTGGCTGCAGTGTGGCTGTTAAGCTTAACGGCCCCTCACTTCCGCGTTGGGCATTTGTGGGATGGGAGGTCTTTTTCTGAAGGGGCAGGCTCAAGTCAGCAGGGGGAGGTTTCAAAAGACCAATCAGGAGTCAGGTTTAGTATTCGGAGTTAGAACTGAGGTGACAAGCCCCCCACAGAAGAGAGGAGGTGTATGGAGTCCTGTTTACCCCTGTTTTATGGGTTCCTAAAACAGTACCCTTAAGGGAATAAGCAGAGGCACCTTTTCTTGGAGCCCAAGTAGAATATCCTTATCGAGGCTATGCCCACCATCTCCTCTTCCATATTGTAGGGTGACCTCTTCATCAGACTAACTGCTTGCACCTAACTCCTGCCTGCTATCCCCGACCAGAGTCACCATGCCTAGAGGTCAGAAGAGTAAGCTCCGTGCCCGTGAGAAACGCCGCCAGGCCCGTGGTGAGACCCAGGCTCTGAAGGATGCTCAGGCTACTGCAGCAGCAGCAGGAGAGTCCCCCTCCGCCGCCTGTCCTCCCTCTGGGGGTAGACCTGCTGCTGCGACTCCTAGCCATCCTCAGGGAACCGCATCTTCCACCAGTGCTGATGCAGCTCTTTCATGCACCAATTCAGATGAAGATGCCAGAAGCCAAGATGAGGGAAGCCCCAGATTGTCTGATGGCACTCAGGTCTCATGCAGAGACCCATTAAACAAGAAGGTAGTTTTGTTGGTGCACTTCCTGCTGGAGAAGTATCAAAAGAGAGAGCCAGTTACGAAGGCAGACATGCTGAAGCTTGTCCTCAAAAAGTACAAGTATCATTTCAATGAGATCCTCAAGAGAGCTTCTGAGCACATGGAGCTGGCCTTTGGGATTGATTTGAAGGAAGTGGATCCCATCCGGCATTGCTACACCCTCATCAGCAAACTTGACCTCACCGTCGATGGCACGATGCATGAAGAAGAGAACATGCCCAAGACCGGCATCCTGATGATTGTGCTGGGTGTGATCTTCATTAGAGGCAACTGCGCCCCTGAGGAGCAAGTCTGGGAAGTCCTGAATATGATGGGCGTCTATGCTGAAAGGAAGCACTTAATCTATGGGGAGCCCAGGAAGATCGTCACCCAAGATTTGGTGCAGCTCAAGTACCTGGAGTACCGCCAGGTGGCCAACAGTGATCCTCCACGCTACGAGTTCCTGTGGGGCCCGCGAGCCTATGCCGAGACCAGCAAGATGAGAGTCCTGGAGTTCTTAGCCAAGATTCATGATACCGTCCCCAGTGCCTTCCCGTTGTGGTACGAAGAGGCTTTGAAAGATGAGGAAGAGCGAGCCCGAGCCCGAGCCGCAGCCAGGGCTCAGACCGCTGCCATGGCCAGGGCACGCTCCAGGGCCTTGACCAGCAGCTTCTCCCACCCTAAGTGACGTGGGCGGCTGGTTGAACAGGTGCGTCACCGTTCTAACAGCGGAGGGCCAGGGCGGGGCTGGAGAAGTGTGTGTCATCTTTGCGTTCCTCCTGTATGTCAGTAACGTGGAGTTTCACTCTTTTTTTTTTTTTTTTTTTAGGTTTTATATCAAATGTTGAAGCTTGAAGCAGATTGTTTTCTTTGTGGAAGGAAAAAGCAGTCAACATTCTAAGGAATAGATGGCCAGGGTGGGTCTGGAAGGAGCACAGTGAATATCGTCTTTGTGGTCCTGCTATATCTCGTAAACTTAAAGGTTTTGTTCCTTTTCTTGTTTCTTTCTCATTTTTTTCTTTCTCTCTTCTTTTTGCTTTCTTTTTCTTTTATATTGCAAATGTTATTTCTTTAACAGAAAGTTTATATAATTTTATAATCTAAATTTATTAATGATTTTCATTGTTTGTGGCTGTTTAATAGATTTAAGATTAGGAGTTTTTTTTCTTTCTCTCTTCCTTTTGCTTTCTTTTTCTTTTATATTTCAAATGTTATTTCTTTAACAGAAAGTTTATATAATTTTCGAATCTAAATTTATTAATGATTTTCGTTGTTTGTGGCTGTTTAATAGATTTAAGATTAGGAGTTTTATTATTTAGTAAAACAAATTGGGAAACCTTTCATATTTACCAAAACAGAACAGTGAAACATGGCGTTGTAACAGGCATTCCCTAGGAAATGCGAAAGAATTTCGCAGTAAAATTGCTGGGATCAAAAAATGGAGGGGAGAGAAGTAAAAGAAGTTCTGTTCTTGGTTTCCCCTATACTTTTTAGTCTGTTGTTCTGTAAGGCTAGAAGATGCATACATGGATTTGTTTGGCTTATTAAAGAATGGAGGAGAAATAAAATGTTGAAATACTCGAATTCATGCTTGCTGGGTCATTTATTTTCCAGATACTAATTGAGTGTTTGCTCTGTAAAAGTTAGTGTTAGAAATGGGGAAGCTAGGATATAAAACACTCCTGGCCTTAGATTGTGCAGTCCAGGAACAGTAATCATATAAAGAAGATGGAGAAGGACCCTCTGAGACCTAAAGGACCAGTAAGGAGTAAAGAGGTAAGGAGGCAGGGAGACGGTTGGGAGAAGTGGCACGGGGAGGGTGTCTGGCTGAGCAAGAAGGTGTAAATTCCCTGAAGAAAGGCAGTTTGGGATTTTTAGGCCACTCTGAGCCCCTCGGTGGGATAGACTGTTAATTTAAGCTACATGGTGGGCCACATGGGACTGTGGGCCTGGTGAGCTGAGGCCAGACAGACCGATGGTTTCTCAGTGTTGGAGGACGTGAAATGCACGCCTGCTTCTATGTTTCTTCGGTATCCTCGGTAAACCAGAGGGAAACCTCCTCCACGGGCAGAAATGGAAGGTATCCTGTGTTCTTGTTCACGGGCAGTTGGACAAAGAGCACAATCTCATTGTTTTAGGCATAGCATCTTCAGGGAATATCTAATAAAGGTGCTACTCCTTTGAGGTGGGATGTTGAGAAGTTACTGTGTTGGCTCTCTCTGCTCTGAATTGGGTGGAGAACCAGGTCCCAGTGCATTTATAGGGCATTTTAATTAGATTATCGGGACTAATTTTGCAAATTCTAAGGGAGGATGAGATTTTTGGTGGTGGTGAAATGAGTGAAAACGGGTGGTTTGGCTGGAAAGGCACCTGGGAGCGAAGGTCTTGGTCCTTGACACATTCTGGGACATCTGAGTTGCCTCTGGCTGGGGGAGACTCTTCTACACCCAAGTTAAGTAACTTATCCTGAACTGGGAAAACCTTCTTTTGTTTTATTTGCTAAGCAGCATTATGGGTTAATTTGGTATTATTTGTCCTAGAAAGCTGCATATTCTGTGATCTCTCCTGAATTAAAAAATAAATCTCAAAAAATTAAAATAAAATAAATCTCCCCAGAGGGGAGGATGGTATCGTCTGCAGGTTAAAAAAACAAAACAAAAAACCCTATGATGACTACCATTCATTGAAGACCTACTATTTTCCAGTTACTCTGCCAAGTGCCTCATACCCGTTACATTCATTCCAATAGTCCCACAGGATGGGGCTTATCAGACATACCTCGCAGCTGAAGAACTTGTAATTTTTCAAGTTCACATGGCTGATAAATAGCAGAGCTAGGACTTGATCCCTGGTTATATTTGACTGGGGCCCACACCTTTCCATTCCTCCAGCTTGAGGCGACATTCTGTCTCTTCATTTTCTATTCTGCTCACTAGTCCAAGGTGTGTCACAGGTCATTAAAAACCCAGGCGCGCTAGCCACAGTGCTAGAAGTCGTCCTGGGGAAGGAAGGTGGAGGTGAGAAGAAAGCACAATTTGGGGGCTGTCTGTGCGCCTCGTTGAGCGAGGCTCCATCTTGTCCCAGCACTTGCCTGCAGTACAGCCCTTGTGTCCTAAGTGTTCTCCAGGGTGCCCTCCTGTCCGAAAAGGAACTTCATTTGCTGACCAGCTCTCCACTGTGTCTGCTGGGGGCTGCACCCAGCTTCCGGTGATACAGAAAGTCCTGAATCACCTGCCCTCCCCTTAGAGCCTTCCACCTCCCTGCGAGTGGACCTCGGAGGTTCCATTCCTCAGTGGAACCATAGACCGTGAAGTTTAGATACCGGATTACCACCCCTCCCATCCCTACAACAGTCTCGAAGTGTATTCCAAATGAGCTGGTGGTTAGAGTCTTGCTTACAGAATATACTGGTTCTTGGGGTGTAACTGAAGTTAGATAGGGGGTTCTGTAAACAGCACAGATATTGTCAGTAGGATTTTGCAGGAGTGTGGTGTTTGAGACTGGCCACGGAACACACACACCAATGACTGAGCTTACATAGACGGTCAGTAATCAAAGCCTCCCTTGTAATTTGTTAACCGTGGAAATCACTGTGCAGCAAACATCTACTGAGGCTGAATTCCTCAGAACCCAGTTTTTCTAAGGGGAAAAAAATGGTTTCTTGACAGACATCCTATCTTGGAACAGCAAAGACTAAAATAATTTGCCTTTCTTCTGCCTCTTATCTCAGTACTTGCCCCAGAGGAAAATGCTGGTTTGTCTTTGGGCCTAATGGCATCTGTCAAAGTGTCCTGCACGTTCAGTCATGCTAAGGATGGCCCAGTCTCACAAGTGTTAACCATGCTTCCATAGAAGGAGACCATTCTCATCCTATAGAGATTCTAGAATTCATTTAGAAGGTGAGTTCAGAAAGGTGCCATTGAGTGCAAAAGGTGAGCCCTCTTTTCTCAGATTTTACAGGATCCTTTTGAAAATTAAATGTGATCCAGTCTTTGAAAGCACCTGCCACATAGCAGGATTGGAAAAAAATGGAAGAATTGCAAGGCAAACTGGCCTCCAAGAAGGGGGTTATTTTCATAACAAATTCTAATAGTTGCTCTTTATCGAGCACCTACTGTGTGACAATTTATGAGAGAGGCTGCAAGTGCTCACGGGCATTGTGTCTTGGTCTTCTTCCTGGGCTGACGGGGAGACTACATTTCTACCCTACTTAGGAAGGGTCATGCGACTACCCTTGACACTGAAATAAGAACAGACACAGTGTTTGTTGCCTCCAGGCCAAGATATTTGAGAGCCAGTATGCCTCCTCCAGGCTTTCTGTTTCATTCAGCAGCAAACCCGGAGACCCTTGTTGAGAAGTGGAGCCATTTGATGGGAGCCACCTGGAGCCCTGCGTCATATGACAGAGGAGGCCCCCGCCAACGCACATCAGGCTATGCGTATGACAAACAAACTTCTGTTGTTTTAAGCCTTGGCAGGTTTGCTGTTGGATCAGCCATCAGTCTCTTTATCTGATTAATGCACAGCTACTCCCTTTGTGGTGAGATGCATTTAAATATTTTAATAACAAAGGTAATAGTACATATGTTCTTCTAAAAACTTCAAACAATACACATAAATTACAATCTCCCCTTTCCTCAAAATTCAGCCCCCTCCTCAGAGGTAATCACAATGAACAATCTGATGTGTGTCATTTTTAAGCTGACCCGAGGCTTTTTCTTACGTAGATGAAGCCTACATTATGTAGATGAAGCCTATATTTTAGGAGTAAAATATCTTGAATATATTTAATAATATATTAAAAATAAATATATTGAATTTTTAAGATTTGTCATTAACAGTGTACATACTGTTCTGCCTCTTAACCTTGACTTAATAAAATGAACCCAAGATATTTCCATGACAGGACATATAGATCCACCACCCTCTATTAAGTGATCCCTAGATTTCTTTTTTCTTTTAAAATAGGCTTATTGAGATACACAAAAGCCAGCTCATACTTTATAGTTTGATGAATTTGGACATATGTATACATGCGTGGAATCATCGTCACGATCAAGGTAACAGACACATCCATCACCTCCAAAAGTTTCCTTGTGTCCCTTTGGTTATTTGTTTTTCTAAAAACACGTCACATGAAATCCCTCAAAAAAATTGTAAGTGTGTAATAGATTACTGTTAACTGTAGGCCCAGTGTTGTACAGCAGATCTCTAGAATTAATTCATCCTGCATACCTGAAACTTTCTATCAATGGAACAACTCCCCGTGTCCCAGCCCCTGATAACCACAGTTCTATTTTCTGACTCTACAAGTAGGACGACTTTCGGTGCCCCGTGTAAGTAGAATCCTGCAGCAGCTGTCCTCCTGTCACTGGCTCATTTCACTTAGCATAGTGTCCTTCAGGCTTACCCGTGCTGTCGCAAATGGCAGGATTTCCGCTTTTAAGGCAGAATAATACTCTTACTGTGTTGACCCAAAATGAACAAATCTTTTTTTCTTTTTAATTTTAAAGGAAAAGGAAAAGAGTTTTATTCGAGCCCAAGTTGGGACAGCTGCCCTGGATACACAGTCTTCAAAAAGAAGAGAGCACTTCAGGGAAAGAACATTTGGTGCAGGGTTAGATACGGTTTTTTTTACATAAAGAGTTAGAAATCATCACAACAAAGGACATTACAGAAAGTTATAGA